AATATACTAAAGAATAAGCAATATTTATATTAATATTAATATTAATTATAAGCTAACAAATATTTTTGATGATTAGAAAAATAAATGTAACATTCAACTTTAGATTAAATTGATATAGTTGAAAAAATTAAACTTTTACTATAATATATTATGTCATTATAAAAAATGGATCAATGTTTCCATAAGAATATAACTAAGTGACGAATCTGTATTTAGAGAAATATAATGTATTAATATAATTATTAGTAATAAGCGAAATAAATTTATTAATTTAGTGATATTATTTATGAAATATATTTCAATTTCCTTATTCCAAGACTTGACTTAAATAATCAGCATTTTTTAATGATATAAATATTTCCGTTATACATAATATTAAAATATAATGATAATTAAATGAATAAAAATATGTACTCGATATACATTAGACGATGACAACTTGTAATTTTTAAATGACTTAATGGCTATGTAAAATATTTGCAATATTTATTTTTTAATATTGCTTTTTTTTCATTGTAAATTAAATTAAATTTAATTATTTCGATATAAACTACAGTTATACATTATATTAGAATAAATTTTGACAATTACTCAAGTATTCTTTTTCCAATCTTACCTGATAATCATCATATATCAAACAAACTGATTAAATAATATTAAATCATACCGAAGAAATATTTTCTAATTTATTTGTGAAAGAAACCATAAACCATTATTAAAATACAACAGACCTTTATTTTGAATTCTGAGACATAGAAGATGATAATACATAACATCCGTATAATAAAATATGATTCGAATATATACTTTAATTTATTTTCAAACTAATAACATACATTATATTTTATAAATTAATATTATGAGTTACAAATTAAAATTCTTGTTTTTGATATTATAAATATTGTTTTCATTAATTTTTAAAAAGCATTTGGAAAACATAAATATATTTAAAAAGTTTTTTAAAAATTGATTGTAATTTTAATAATAAAATAAAATTACAATAAAACTCAATATAATTTTAATAATAAAAAAATTTCCTACTTTGTCGAGAAGAAATTCAATTTATGTTACAAATACAATATGATACACTATTTCACAAAATAGTTATTTTTCAAAAAGGGTCATTAACTATTCTCTACATTGGTTCTATTATTTTCGAAATAAAGAACTATCTGTAATTAAAAATTTCATGAGAAAAACAATTTTTTTTATTGTAAAGTTTATCTCAGGCGATAATGAGTTGAAATTTTTTTATATTTCAGAAACTATTTAACAGTTCACTATATAAACGATGAAATACTATTTTCAGCAATTAAATTGTATTCTATAATAAATATTATATTAATGTTAATAACATACTTTAATTAATATATAGTATATTTCAACTATTGAAAATATGAGAATGGAAATTTAATTCATATGCATCGTAAATAATATACGAAATAAGGCGTGATGTATTATAATAATAAATAAAATAATATATAATATATGATAATGATATATGACAAATAATATATGTCTTAAATTAATATATTGAAATTATTTATATTCGTATGATTTACATTTTATAAACTCCTATACAATCTATGTATGTACTGACCTCTATATAATGTATGAAAACAAATTTTATACATTCATTACAATGAACAAAAAGCTTCTTTAAGTGTCAAACAACTCCCCTTATAAAATAAAACATACTCGTATGTTATGCATTTACGAAAAATTACAAAATGAAATGTAAGATAAAATATATTACATTTTTAAGCGTACTTAATCTAAAAATACAGATAACAAATAATATCTCTTATTCGATCAATTGAAACTACATTTTTAAAGCTTTTTAGAAAGTTTTACAAAAAACTCAACATATTAAAGACTTAATTTTTTTTTTATAATGTCACATTAGTTTATTTTATTTCATATTTTCTAAAGTATTCTAAAAATGTAGTAAAATAAAGACTCATTGATTTAAAAATTGAATGCGTATTATACGAAAATAATGAAATATTTCTTCATTAAAATATCTAAAAAATTCTCGTATATTTAATATTAAATCTAAAATGTTTTAAGTAAATTCATCTTAAATAATGTCCAAAAACGAATAGAAAATTAGATATCGTAACAGATTTGCCTTAAAGTATAATCATATTTTATATAAATAATTAATATTTCTAAAATTATACTTATTATAAAAACTTTATAATTTTAATTATATCTCTTTTAATTAGAAAAAAAATCATATATTGTAGATGCAGTAAAGTAGAAATACGTCTGTTGATGTATTTAATATTATTTATTAGATTTATATCATATTTCTTAATTTAGTGCTAACATATTATCACAAAAATATAATTTCAATGTTTATTTATAGAAGAATATTCAGTCAAAATAATTTTTTGAAAATGTACAATGTAGGGCTGTGCTAAACATTTTTGGGTCCTTTTATATGTACATTATGTACAAATTATGACATGCATGGTCTTTACTCAGCTATTTAGGAACGTAATTATTTAGAAATTTAATAAAGTATTAATAATGATTTATATTCTTAGTATAAGCTATTGGTCAATGAACCTACGGTACTTTTGTACTTATGTAACTTTTGAAAAAATATTTCACTTTTATTTATTCATTTTCATTTGTATATTATACGACGATTAATTGTAATAATATTAACAATTTATTACTAGGAAATCATTATTTATTTTTTAATTAAAAAAATTTTATAACTCTTTATAAAAAGTATATTGGATATTTTATAGTTATTTAAAAAAAATATTTTTTAGGGGTATAATTTTCTTAAAATAAATATTTGTGCAATAGTTTTTCTACAAATAAACATCTAACGTCCATTTTAATTTAAGACTTTAGTACCTACGTTTCTATTTATTATACTAATTATTCAGTAGTATACAAAATGTAACAATTTTTAAAATATTAATGATAAATAAATACCTGCAAATTAATACCTATAATAACAATATATATATATATATATATATATATATATATATATATATATATATATATATAATGTATAATAAAATAATATATGATAGAATTTAATTAAATATATTAAAGTAAATGAATATTAATAAAAAAAAGTTGAAATTGCACTCAGAATTATTAATAACATCGTTTCAGTCTCTAAATAATAGCCTTTACATGCATATTTTGCAGTATTTTTAAGAGCTTTCGAAACTAAAAGCTTATTATTTATATATTATGAATATAATTTCAATACGAGTGAAATTTAATAATAAAGGATCTTTTGCAAATCCTTGATCTCTCTAATCTATAATAATATTATACACCAATTACAATCAATTTTACCATATTATTTACTAACGAATACATTAACATCATCTATATAAATACACGATCAATAGATTTCATATCTCATATTAAAAACATGATTTTTTCAATTTTATTTTGCTAAAATAAATAAATATATTGGTGTTAATTATATAGGAAATATGACAATTTTTTCACTGAATTTGAACAGTAGAAATTATATCCATCTATTTAAATAAAAAAGTGTTTATTTTTGGAAACTAGAACATAGTACTAGTCGTATTATTATTATATTAATAATATGGCTCATTTATAAAAATTATTTTACTTAACATTTTAAATATTTGCTTTACCGTTGATGGAAACAATATTTTCTGAAAAATTTAATGTTATCTATTATTGACGGATATTTTAAAAGTTTTTATCGTAAAATTTTCATATTTAAGACAAACTTATAAGTTATTTTATTAATAAATAATTTTACAGCATTTAAAATTTTGTATTTTATATTTTAATGTTATATTTTAAAATATAAGTAGATAACACTATATATAGGCGAAATGTTTTTGACTTTTTTTATTTAAAAAGAAAACAATAATCATTCAATTTTACTTCATATATATCTTTTTCATCTCTTTTTGTTTTCATAATTTATTTATTATAAGAAAAACATATATCTCTCTAAATCCCAAGTATATTTTTACATTGAGTTTACGAAAAGGTGTAAACAAAAAGAATCTAAATTTGTTAATCGATCATCAATATATCATCTTTGAGTCACATACGAATGAAAATTACTTATTATATTTAATTCTTCGCAAATACTTCATCAGTGGTTAGAAAGATAAGCCGAGTATAGATTTAGTTGATTAATTATAGAGTTCATTATCTGCAGATAATATTTTTATGGGAATTGTATTAGGCTTCACTCGGATATTTGTTTGTTGCAATCAAATCAATTAAACGTTGGTGCTTGACATTTCAAAATTACTCAGAAAATTGTTATAGTATGATTTGTTTAATACTGATCAATAAAAATATTGATTAGGGTATTGTCCGAATATTACCAAATGAACTTTTAAGCATTATTGTTGCATGAAACATTGTACAATTATATAAATAATACTATGTGTATACTTTAATACAATATTATCGTGCAAGTTATTCTTAACTAAATGTGATATTTATTTTTTTAAATATGGAGCTACCTCTGATGAGTTATATGGCTAACATTTAGAAAAATGTTTGTATTGGTCACTTGAGTGTATAATAAATTTTTAATATAATTTCTTTTCCTCTAATTTGGAAAACAAAATTTCTATCTCTATAATAAAAATATTTATATTATACAAATCCAAACTATATAAGTGATATGTAATACATTGCTGGTACAATATTAACGTTATTTAAAAAAAAAAAAAAATGTAAAAAACTAATTGAATTTCAACGATGACTTTTTATAGTATTTTAAAGTATAATTAATATTAACATACTTATTTATTTATTTTTTTACACAGATTTTAAAGGCTGTTTTAATGATGAACAGAGACTATATTATATATTTTGTAAAGTTCTAGCTTTTGTACTTTGTAGACGAAATATTTAAGTACATAGAGTTTTTTTTTATCAATTTGTAATATAATTCAACTCATATTTGAATTAGTAATTCATATATTTACTTGATGAGTTAAAGAACAGCGCACAGTTTCATAAGTGTTCAAAGGATACAAAATAAAATTACCATCATTTGCTATCCATGGATCATTGAATGTAGACTGCATTACATCATTGCTGGAACTTCAAATATTACTATTACTTCAATACAATCCAGTCTGCTCATATTTATCTTCTTCGTACCCGTCAGATATGCCACTTGTTGTCATCTCGGTGTTATCGTTGACACTTACACTAATTGACGCTAAAGTGATCAGAGCTCAGTCTCCTAGAATAATGATCGAAAGCTTTAGTTGTATAAATGCTAGCAAATAATATATAATATTAGCATACGGAATAAATCTTTGCCAATGGGCTAAAATAGACAAAATAGACTTTGATATACTATTACAAATTAAACGAACGCAAAATTATAATTTTTATCTCTAATTGTTGTAAATTATTAAATGAAAATAGATTGCAGTTAAAATTTATTATATTTTTGATTCTACGATATTCAATTTTCAATGCTAAAATTACTAATCAAAAATATTATAGTTCTTATTGAAATTTTGTATTTACTATAAGACTTTAAATCGATATGATTATCAAATAAATTTTATTATTCTATACAATAAATTTTTAGATTTATGAATACAATAATATTATTATTTAAAATTTTCATATATTATAATCAAATGTAATTCATAGATTAAATCTTAAATAAAGAATTATAAAAGAATGTATCTTAAAACGGGTAAATTATTTAAATTAGGGTAATGGAAGAATAGAAAGCAGTGAATGTTCTGTTTGAAATACAATTAAGTCAAACAGTAAAATGTTTATTACATAGTAAATTATACAAATATGTAGTTTTTTTTTATGTACTTTATAGTAATAATTAGAGAACTGTGTCTCGAGCAACTACTTTTTTCTTTACGCAAACAGTAGTATGAAAATATTTTAGTCATTGCATTTACTTTAGATTGTAGACTTTTATCATCCTGGTTGTTACAGTTTGTTTTATAGGTAGCTGTCATTCCCTTTAAACTGACAATTGCTTCTTCCTTGAGTGTTTTTATGTCTGCGGAACTCCGATGACATGACCAGAAGTCCAATACAACGTTGGATACACAATTGTCCTTCATATTATCATAATTCTGTGACGTGATTTCGTCAATACCCGTTGTCCAAATACTAGATTCGCTATTTTCTGTATTGCTATTGCTGCCCATAGTATGGAATTGCCACCTTCGCTCTATATCGTAAACAATCATACTTATGTACCATTCCTCCTTTAACTATATCACTTTTTTTTTTTTTTTTTTTTTTTTTTTTTTTTTTTAATTAAACATATTTTCAGTATAATAAGGCATGTATATGTAATTGTTTTAAAATATAAATTATATGTAAGGTAGTTGCCCTTAAAATTGAACTATTTTAATACGAACATTGAACTTTGATAATTCAAAATATTTATGATATTCATGAAAAAATCTTTTTATTTAATAATAATTACTTAATTAACTTGGACACTTAATTATACTAATAATATTGGTTTAATCAGAGCAATTGCTCATTTTGTTAATATTATTTCTCTCGAAATTTCTAATTAACCGATAACATAAATTTACCAATATAAACAAAAAATCGTCTTCTAAATAAAAATGATTTTATTTTAATAACTTTTAATTCAATATTGTGTACGAAATCGATCGAGTATAAAAAAGCTTTTTCGTGATTCAATTACTCATGCTACTCTTTCGAAAGTGCTGCTTCTAAAATATATGAAATGTAAAATGTACTTTCAAAAAGTTGTGTAATGTATTTTAAAGCTTTTCAACTTCAGAGCTAAACTAAGTAAAGTTCTGAATTATAAACGTACTACGTCACTCTCTAATACTCGATTTTCCAATAACTATAAATTTGAACTAGAGACATTGCACTAACACAGAAGATGATTAACGCTCAAATAAAAATAACTGTCTAAGATAGTGTCAACTTCATTAAATAATGTGGGCTAAATATCAAAAAGCATTGAGCATTGATGTGACATACGATGGAATAAAATTTATCGCTTATAAGCACTTACTATTAGAAACTGGTAATGACATTGGTGTCGTGCAATATCGACTAAGGAGAGGACTTCCGCCTTCCTGACTGTCCTCACTACTATAAGCGCGCGTTATAAGAATTCTAGGGCTGCGTTTTGCCGTCTCCATTGTCCCGCTGCTAAGGCTTGTTTCTATACTGAAGTCGTTACGATAATGGGCTGTTATAAGGCTGACAGAACTGGTGCTCGATCTTACTAATCGTCCATTTTCATCTGTAGCCAATATAGTTAATTACATACTTGAGAAATTATTCGCAAAATTATAGAGAATTCGCATTTAGAATTCTCTCTCAGCTCGGAACAAAATAGGTACAACCATCGATTATTAAAAAATAATTTACTGCACATTTATATGAATCGTATATATAAATATTAGTATTTTTTTCATTATTATATTAAATATTAAATATTAAATATAACAAATCGTATTAAATAAATAAAAAATTTTAACTACTATAAATAACAAGTTTTAACAGTATATCCAGCTTTAGAGATTAGCAATACCGATATATACTGTAAACTATCTGTTAACCTATAAAGATAAGCTTGGATAGGCAAATATTTAATTTATAGTATACGTTTAAAAACAAGAAATTTGGAATTTTAAGATACGTTGTCTACTTAAATTTACAAAATTTGAAATGGCCAAGAAGATAGTACTTTTCTGTAAATTGATTCTTATAAAGAGGCAGTCATTCGCAAAAATACTTTTCGATTCAATGAAATAATTTATTTTAAATAGAAATTTATAAATCACAATTGACTCCAATAATTTATAATTATTTTATTATTAGATATTTACTATTAAATATTTACTATTAGATATTGTGATAGTATTTATATAATTAAATTCGTAAAATTTTTTTAGAAAATGTATAAACATATTTTTTACACTTAACTCAATTAGTCATTTCATAGTAAGTTACAGTTTTCATTAGAAAATTTTTATTTTTGTTCGTCAAATAAAGAAAATAAGTGCTTAAAAGTTTAAATGTTAATTTTTGTAATATTAAAAAAAAATTTTAGACAATTTTAAAATATAGTTAAGCATATATTTAACATCTCAAAAGCATCTCAAACTAATCTCAAAATTTAATTTTATAAAGAATAATTTTAATACAGCTAAATTTCGAAAGTTGATAACGGTATATAAAATTATATTTTCATAATAAAAAATGTTTACATCATATTGCTTTAATCGATAAGTTTTTTAGGATACATGACTATACGATTTCATATTCTTTTTTTCCTTTATTTTTATTTGTAATCTATTAGCATTTTGCACGGATTTACATTTCATTTTCAGCAATAAATTAATAACATAAAAAAATTTAAATTAAAAAATAACATATTACTGATTAATACATACAGATGTAAGTTAATATCCAAATATTTGCGTTTCCTACAATTTATTGTAAATTGAATGGGTATTCTTATGTTATAGTATATTCTTATAATATGTATTGTTATTTTAATAAAAAAAAATTATTCGAGTTTACTAAGTATATCCTTGATATTATTATCGTTTTTATCCATTAAAATTTTACATATTTAAATGTACAAAGTAATTACGATTAAAAGATTTCTTAGTTATTAATGTAATGATCGATCCAATTTGGAAAAAACTAATTATATTAATAAGTTAAGAAATATTTATTAACATTTTAATAACTCACAATCGTTATCCATGTAAAGCAAATGTTTCTCTTATCTAAAAAAACAGTCTAAAAACGTCTAAGTCCAGGCATGTTGAAAGAATTTTATTAATAAATCTATAATATCCGTTATATAATGTAATTTGCTATGATATTCATTGCGTTATATATATATATATATATATATATATATATATATAAAAAGCCTTTTAAAAGTTATTAAGTCATATTTAAATTAATTTAATATTAAAAATAAGTCTATTTAATCTTTTTAAAATTATTCTTAAGGTCATTAAGATATAATTTTTTTAATATAAAATGACACGTATTTTAATTGTCTTTGTCCAATTGAAGTCATAGAAAAATTAAATAAGCAGTAAACTTTAAATAATAAAACTATTTACTAATTAGAAAAGTAAAAATTAGTATGAATTAAAAGATGACTTTCAAAATATTTGCATATTTAAAAATAGATATTTCTTAAGAATATAAGAACTTTAATAAATCTTTAATCCATAATACAAAAATCACCTAACCATATTATTTTTTATTATGCTTGATTTCATAAAGATTTTTATGATAAAAATGCGAAAAATATTTAAAAATAAATCTTGAACTTAATAAAACATAAGTGAAAAATGAAGCTTAATAGTGATAACGTAATAAATGAAGTATGAGATAGATGCGGTTAGGTGCAGCATCAATATTTTTCTAGATAATGAAGTGATGATAGAATGAAATCTTATTAATGTTACATACTCACTCAGTTCGGTGCTTGGCACTCGTAAGGTATTACAAGAAGCTGCGGGTTGCAGCCGCGTGCGATCGAAAACTCCAGCAATATTGATGCTGCCAAAGCTACCACCCGTCCGACAATTACCTAAAGCAATTAAAGCGTCGCTGAGTCGTCGTTGAAGAGGTGGAAATGCAAAAAACGAGGCAGGCCCGCTTCCGGATGGTCGTCTCGAGCCTGCAGTGCTTGGTGTTCGAGCCTGAATTTCCTAAAATCCAATTACTGCTATCAGACTCGCGACAAAGGAATTGAACAATTTTTTATAAAAAAGACTTTTATAAAAGAAATAAAATTTTTACTGAATATATATACATATATAAAATAACACGGCTAAACACATAATTAAAAATCAATTTTGTTGAGTCAATACATTTAATTTTGTAATTTTGTAATTCAAAGTGCATCGTAAAAATTTCGATCAAATTTACTCAATTGGTAATTGGCTCAACTTTTTAATTATTTCACCGCTTTACTACCATTCTTACCACATTGAGCAGATAAAATGAATAATATTTTCGATAAAAGCTGAGCAATCAATTAAACATTTTAATTATATAATCGATCCATCCCAATTATATCTTTACGAAAATCTCGAACGTATATTAAAAAAAGAGTAATCTGTAATATTAATATCGTATATTGATTCAACTTTTATACTTGTATTCTTGTTATCTTGCGATCGACCTCATTAATTTGTTGAAATATTTTTCGATTCAATATATAGGAAGAGCATATTTTTATTTGCCACGCAAAATATCCATCACACAAATAGTAACGGGAGCACGAGAGCTTCTTGACATTATCCCAATATCAAGAAATTTTAAATGTCTTTCACCTTTTTCTCTGCTTACCTGCTGCAACTCGGATTTAGTGGCTTTTTTGCGTCTGTAGTTCTCCACGGATCTTCGTAGAGTTCGTGATTTTAGGCCATAGAGAATACCATTAATGGGTGGCGAGCAGGCGAGCAACAAAGAGGCTAAGGATACAAAACGTGGTTGCGCGTGTAAGCGCGAGTACTGGTAAATCGAGCTTACAGTTCCCGCGCCTTCGCCACTCTCGCTACCACTATATGCCTCCCACAGGATAAAGCCACAATAAGGAAAATAAAGTAGATACAGGGAACCAATCAGTTGCATGACCTGCATTAATTGAAATAAAATTATTGCACTCACTAATAGTATACGTACATATTAAAGTATACATTATAAAAGAATGTATTAACGGACTATCAATGTTCATTTACATGTATTTAATAATAACAATGTATAATTTTTTAATTAATAATATTGTTCATTTCTAATAATATTATTAGCTTAAAATATTGTATGTTACGGAATGTTTGGAACTGAATGAAAAAATTTTTTTACATCGTAATATCATATTAAAAAAAATTCTATCGTTAAGGCAAAAAAAATCATTACAACAAATGTAAATTGTTGATGTAAATACTTGATGTAGTATAAAATAAAGTCATTACCTTTATTATAAATTTTTACTAAACGACTAATTGTAAATATATCAATATAGATTATTTATTTTTTTCTCATTCAGATTAATACATAATAATGATTTAGAAAGCATATGATAACTATTATCATTTGTAATATTTTAATCCCTTAAGCATCAAATTAAAAGTAATTTGTAATATTTTAATCCCTTAAGCATCAGATTAAAAATATTAAATTCATCCGTACACACGCATAGGGAGAGAATAAAGTTTGTATAATTTTTTTTATTTTGTTTTGTTCGAAATGATAATTCAAATCTGTACGAATTGTGCGTATATTTATTTACATTATGTATTAAATGTGTCATTTGATTTCAAAAAAAAAAAAAAAAAAAAAAAAAAAAAAAAAAACATGAACCGTATAATAAAAATTATATTGCTATGCATCAGGTATTTTAAAACGAACGTTAATATTATTTATATAAATTCATATTAAGTGTTTCAAGATTTCAAAGATTAAATAAGAGCATGGATGGAACTGTATCGGATTTTTTTGAAATTTGACAAATTTAGAAAGGCCGACATACTGTATTGGCAGCATTATTGAACTTGGGAGGGCCACCGGCAGTTGGTGCTGTTGCTGTAGAAACGAAGAACGGATTTCTTTGGTGGGTGATAGTGACCTGAGCACTGAGCGTCACCTCGTATATCGCACTGGCAATACGATGTCTATGATAGCGAGCAATACCCAGTACTCGTAAATTGCAAATTGTTACTAAAAGGGCGGGCAGCGCAAGGCCCAGAAGAGCATAAGCTGCTCCGTAGAGAGAACCGGCTGTACCCCAACTCGTATTGCCAAAATCGGGAGCGCAGCAGCCGAAACCGGGAATATAACGATAGGGCGGCACCAAGCCTGAAAATGGCGTCAGACAGAGTAAAAGAGCCCCCGTCCAGGAAAGGCCCAGTCCCAGGGCCACGCGTCGTGGTGAGACCAGGGCTGAATAGTGCAAAGGCGCTGCTATCGCGTAATACCTGAAGCAAATTTAAAGCGAAATTCTTTAATGATTAATATATTAATATCAATATATTTTTAAATTCAATAATAACGTGCGATTGTTATTTCTCACTTATTTATCTTCCCCGTTAGTTAGTTTTATTATAGAATGCTTTTTATTTAATTTACAAGTGATTGCTATATAAAAGTTAGCTATATTATTAAATTTAACGATAAACTCGTAATATATTTGGATTGATTATTTTTAATTTACTAATTTCAAGTCATTGAATAACTACTTAAAATAATAGTTCATATAAATTCATATTCTTGTATAATTTATCATCTTTATCCGCTGCAGTAGCTTAGTATTTATGGTAATTTGTGTATTTATGTAATCGGTCATTGAAGTCATACATCAAAGTAATAGCGCATTAATTTACAAACTTTCATTAGCATCTTATTACCGTCTTTAATCAAAGAATGTTCTTAATTTTTGATCAATAAAAATTAATAAAACTTATTGTAATAAAATCTAATACAATATGTATTTCTGAAATGCATATAGATATTTTTACATAAGTACATCAATCCATATGATAATAATAATCCATATCGTTATAATGCAATAAGAAATTATAAACGATTGATTCATTATTGTTTATTATATTCATATTGTTTCGATAGATACTTATTAACAATATCAAAGTATTTCCATTGGTCTTTAAATTTTTTAATTTACTGAATACTTTATTAGAGAAGTTAAATAAATCGTCATACTATTAATCTATATTTCATGTCAAAAAGTGAAACGAAGTTTAATACATTAGTTTTTAGTGAATGCCATTTCATGAGTTTTTATTTTAAAAGTCTGAAATAAAATTAATTAATAAAATCTAAAATCAATAATTGTAAAATAAGCCCGTAGCATAGCAGCATACCTTTTTAAATTAAACTTCCATATCTGATATTTTAAAATACATTTTCTTTTTTCATTCTTTTACCTTCTTTCGTTTTTTTTTTAATTTTTTTTTTAATTTTTTTTTTTTTTTTTTTATTTGTCACACTAAATTCTATCTTAATTATGAATGCATTAACAAATAAATAGATATAAAAAAAAATAGAATTAGAATTGGGCATCATTTTTGGATCTTTGTTAAGGTTTTGATTGGAAAATGGCATTATATAATAATCTTGCTCAAAATAACAATAATATTTTCAATATTCAACTATTCAAGTTCTTAAAGCTCACTCTAATGTGTAATAAAAACTTATTTGCCCCTTCTGAACAAAAAGTAATAACACTACTTGTATTATGAAATACAAAACGAAATTATCATCAACGTTTTTACATTGCTTCTAAATCAAATTAATAATTGTTTATCCTTGAAATTGAAGTCATAATCAAATTGCCAAATCAGTTAAAGAATAAAATAAAATCTCGGGAATCACATAAGAATTATGATTGAAAGTTACAATTATAAAATTACCTGTCACAATTTAAGCCAGTGACAGTCCACAGCGCTATTGGATGTAAGAGTGCCAAGAGGAAACCGTGAAGTACGCACCAGGTGCCAGCTATCGGCCACGAGCCTGTTACAAATACCAATAGGACAAGGCAGACCGCTGCTTCGACCGCTCCCAAATGTATAAGCAATAATGTATTCGCTGTTTGTTGTTGCTGTGTCTAAAATTAAAAAGAGTTGTTCATCGGCTTGCTTTTACATTCGCTGGCACACAATTTTCTCTCTCCATGTATTATCAAAAAAGAATGCCTTAGTCGAGAGTCTATATATAATTGTGGAGTTCGTATACTTTGGTGTAAACGATTGTATAATCACAATTATTAGCTAGAAATTTCAACAGTCGGTTGTTTAGATTTAAACAAATGTAAACTAAAAAAAAATTGTAGAAATTTATGTAGCAGAACACCGACGAAAAATACTAGAGCGTTATCTTCAACTATTATTCTTTTCAAAGACTTTTAGTTTTCAAAACCATTGTCCAATTATTTTAATTTACTAGTAAGTAAATAATTATTTTAATTATTTAAATACTATCTAAACTATGGAAAGAAATAAAATTAGATGATTTTTAAATCGTATTTATATACAATATGTAATGTATATAAATTATTAGAATATATTTACATATATGATATACGTAATATGTATATGTATATACGTGTGTGTATGGATATTTAAACTATCACCTCATTATATTGTTTATTCTTAATATTGTTTTGTTACCATAATTACGTATGTACAACAAATACGTTGCATGATTTAATATTATAAGTTTAATCGTGTCATTATAGCTTATATTGACGGCAGAATTATTAAAAAATTGGAAAGATTAAGATACATTATTATTGTATTAAAATATTAGATTATTTATGGGCACATATTTCTAGGTTAAATTTTCATTTAATTCTTTGTGAAAAATAATTTTTTATTTTAAATAGGAAAACAATTTGAAATTGTTTCGTCTATTAAACCAAACTATATCCACGCTCGGCATAATTCTTTATAAAGTTTAAGGACTATCAAAATAGATGAAAATTATCAGACCTGTTTACCGAGTCCAAGAACGACTAGTAGCACATACGCATTGAGCAGGAGTCCCAGAGCAGAAACGAAGCTGAGCAGAATCGTTAAGGTCCAAGGGCCCATACCTTGTAGCCCGTATAAGAGCTCTTGTAACGTCGATTTGACGGAACTGACAACAGCTACTTGATTTTCACGCGATCAGCCATTTAATAATCAACCCTGACCTCATCTTTGGACTGAGAATTCTATTCCAATCTCGTAAAAATCTTTCTGCAAAGACAATTATTATTGATTAAGACAAATATTAATTCTTGCACTTTCATCAATTGCTGTTCTCAGTTATAATATGACATTCTGTTTATAAACATTGAAAATTCATCAATATAATAATTTGTAATCTTTATGAATTTATCTTCTAAAATATTGCATTTCCCGAAAATTTAATGTGTAAAAAAAAAAATGAAACATACGAAATATAAATAGAGATTTATTAAATTTATATTATATTTATCTTCCTGTCTTGCTTGCTCGCTTACTCCCCCCCCCCCTCCATACATGCATATATATATAAACAGAGCCAGACGTACACAACACACACACACACACACACACACACACACACACAATCTTCCTCTTAATATTTAATATACTATTTTATTGATCTTAGATATTAGGAAATTGTATTAATTATTTATACCAATTATTATTTATCATAAACCATTTTTTATGCTTTCATTTTCTTAAATGTACATTAAAAAAAAATTTACAATTATATATTTTATTTAAAAAATACATGACAATAATATCGACTCACGTCTAACTTGACCTCTCGAACTACTTTTCTGCTTTTTAAAAGAATATCATGAATAATATTTATTTTATTGTCAGAAAATTTGTATCAAAATAAACGCGATAGCTTAGTTTTTAATGAGATTTTCTAATAATAAATATTATCTTTTGTTGTATTATAGTTTAATATTTTGCGCATTAAATAAAACAAAATAATTAATATATTGATATAGAATATATTTATAAAAACTCTATCAATATTGTGAAAGCTATAATATTGTTTATTAGTGAAATTTTAATTATTAACATATAAGTATTTTGATGTTACAACATGAATTGCAGATAAACCTTTGTAATTAAATTATTAATGGAATGTAAGTAAAAGAAACAGCATTGAATTTTTTTATTGATTTTCATTTGAAATTTTCCCATTTCATATTTAGATACATATATAACAAGTCATACTTAGAAATCTTTTAAATAATTTTTATCTATCAACTTCAACATTGTTATTTAATAATATTTTTATAATACATTCATAATTTTTTATTACAATTATATCAAATTAGATATTTCGATTTTCTTACTTTAATTATACTTTTTTGTATACCTAATAATTTAAATGAATTGTAAGTGTGACATTTAAAATGTTGAAACTTCTATTTCAAACTTTCAATTCATAAAAGTGAGTGTTATCAAAATATTAGTATTAAGATATAATTATACAGGACAACTATTCAAATTTGTACTTGAAAGTAAAACATTAATAGATAATGAAGTATTTATTGGTACCATTAAATGAACTTAAAATTCATATAAGTTCGGCTACTGTATTGCTTACATAAGAATATAATTTATTTTAAATATTTTCACGATAATATAAGTATTTAATATAAAACGAAAACGACCCTGCTTGTAAACACATACGTAACATTTAAAATTTTCACTAGTATTTTACAATCTAATTTTATATCATAATTTTTTTATATTAAAATTAATTATAGTTATTTGTTTTTTCATTTATAATAATATTAAATAATACAAAAATTTCCATGATAGTATTTAAAAATATCTTTCTAATAATTATTGAACTAATAGATATTAAATTATTTAAGTTATTAAAAAGTATTGTGTAAGAAAATAAATTGATAGTAATTTTACCTTAAAACTTAAAATTATTTTTTTAGAAGAATAGTTTCTACATTTGAAGAAAATGTAAAAGAAAATTATATAATTTGATTAAATAAATAAAACCAATGCAAAATTACTATTTCGATTATAAACATCAATATTTATAAAAATATTTAATACAAATTAAATTTGAAATCTAATATATAATATATAATTTGAATATATAATTTTTAATTTGTTCTTAATGAATTTAATTCATATAAGTAAATTTGAATTTGAAATTGTAATTAATAAAGTATTTATATTAATTGTATTATTTAATTAATGAATATATTTACAATTTAAGTTTAAATATATAATTATCAGTAAAAATCATTGTTTACTATGTGAAAACTGTTGGTTTAAATAAATATTTATTGTTAAATCCAAAATATATATATATATATATATATATATGTTCCTGAAAAATAAGAATCGTGAACGAGAAAAAGAAAACTTTTTGAAATATATATAAGAATTCTGCGAAGAATAATGTATATACCTTTATAATTTATAAGTGGATAAATTAAAAAAATATATATATAAATAATTATTTCACTACATAAAGGCAAATAATTAAAAAAAAAAAAGTAAAATATTTGTCCGTCATTTTATAGTATACTTGAATATATTTATAAATTATATATTATAAATTACATTTGACTGGATATAAAGTTTTTGTATTTACGTATTTAAATATCATTACTTCAGCTTCGACGTTCAATTCAAAATTATTTCTATCAAAAATTAAACTATCAAATCTGGCTTATATTCATAATTAACACGGCACGATAAGTCTGCTTTACTGAAACTATTATGCTTGACTACCGTGCAAGAGAAGGTAAAAGGTAAATGTAAAAAGTCGGGTATAGCCTAAATCGTCGATTCGATGTCAGCTGATTCTGCTCTATTCGAATCGTAAGTTTCTCAACGGAAAAGTCTGTACCGATTTAAAAATAGTGATCAGCGAAATCATCAGTGTGGAATCCGAAAATTAATTGAATAGTAACAACAAAAGGATAAAAGGATCAAAAAGTTTATTGTGTCGTTATTTTTGCAACTACGAAAAAATATAAAAAGTGTAAGCGTGATGATACATAAATAAGAAATTGGATGCATTAATTATAAAAATTTTATGATGACAATGAGCTTGACATATTTCTAATAATCACAGATATATTAGCATTTAAAATTTTAATGAAACAAATTATCTTAATTTCTATATAATTTTTTATTGTTTGAATTAATTTAATTGACTACTTTCACATAATATCAGATACATAATTTGCAAATGATTAATGTCATTAAATTATATTATAAATATGAATTGTGATAATACTTAGAGATTTTTAAAACAAATTTGATCGTATATGAAATGAATTTAAAAATTCTCAATTTTCTTTATTCATAATAACACTTAATGCACAAAATTTTTAAGTTAATATTATAAAACCAAATGCATTACGAAATAATTTGTTCAAAAACTAAAACTAAACTAAATCAATTACCAAGTATATTGCTTTCATAACTATCAATATTGTACATAAACGAAATTTTATAATAATTATTTCTTTCAAAATTATATATATATTAAATAGAAATTACTTTTCTTCTATCTATCTAGCATAATTTATACGTATATTATAATGGACATCAAATTTAATTTAACAAACAGCTAGTTATTTTATTAAAGTATTCGATAACTTATTCAAATATATTGAATTATATTTTATATAATAAACTTCGTGTTTTTATTTTATTAAATAATATATTGTAGAAATGCATATTGCTTATTTAAAATATTTATTTAGAGAAAGTATGTTTAATCAAGTTCTTTAATTAATTTCATTAAAGCTTTTAAATATCATATAAATTTTCTACATGTATAATTATTAAATGTATACATAAATCATTCAAGAGACCTATTATTCAATTAAAATTCAATTAACTTAAAATACTTGAATTCGAATATAGGTTATATTGTATTTTTTATTAAGGTATTTTTATAGAACATAAATATTACAGTTGATAATGATGAAAGGTTATCTGTGAATATAATCCTGCACTTTATGGAATCGTTATATTATTATAATTATTATAATCAAAATAAATAATATCTTTTTACAATATATAATTAATAATGCAAAATCGCATTCAGTTTTATCTACTGTAGTTAAGAATTTATAACCTCAATGATATTCTTCTATAGTTTTAAGAATGAAAAAATATAATTTTATCATTATGTACGATCTATCTTGACGTTGTTATTAACGATTTCCCGCAATAAATCTATAATTTTCTGTATTCAAGATTTTTGTTAAATTCTTTCTGCACTTTCGTTATATTATAAAAATGTTAAGCTTTCACAAAAAATACCGATAATTGATTTGTTATATCTAGCATAAATTTTCTTATTATATATATCTTCTACAATTGATACATTAACATAAATATGTTATTAAATAGCGTACTTTAAAGTGTTTAAAAAATACCCTAAGAACTTTAATGTTTAATGTGACTTGGTTATTGATGATTTTACGGATTATAATAGTTACTTTTAAATTATAGAAGTTTACCCATAAGTTCGTACAATGTCGACTTATTATAAATCATTGTAAACAATTGGTGAATTTAAGGTAAATGTTTTTCAATTCGAAGTAGCATAGTAACGTATATTTCAACTTAATACATCATTTTCCTCACAATTATTGGTATACAGCCATTATTTACTAATATTTGAAAATAAAACATACAGAAATAGGTGGAACCAAACAGTTTTCAATTTAATGGTCAATATATTACAAATTTACAATGTAATATTTTGATATAATAAATTAACTTTTCTTTATTCTTTGTACAAATTATTAGTTTTACCTAATTACAAAAAGTAAAGAAAGAACACATCGATTGCATTTACTTGTAAATCTAATTAGACCAAGTGGCAAAGAGTTGTACCTATATAACATTCACATCTAAGTATGTTGATGAATATTATTTAAATAATTTAATTAATATTAATAATATTATTATTAAATTTTATAATGTCTTATTTAGAAAAGTATGGCCTATAACTATCGATATTGACCAAATAAATAATACTTTCTGAAGGATTGTATGTTTTAAATAATCTGAAAAACATTAAATCGTAAATGGTATTTTTATCAAATCTAATAACTTTAAACCATTTGTTAATTTATTGTTCAAATGGTAAATCGATATATTCAATTGAAGAAAACGATTTAAAAGTAAAGCCTTGGTAAAGATTATATGCATTCAAATTTATTAAAAAAAATTATTCAATTCGATTTTAC